ATTAGATACATTATTATTTATTAACTTAAGTATTTTGGAAAGAAACTGAAAATAATAAATTCCAAACATTTTTGGATTGGGATTGAGAGATTTTTGGATTATAATTGAGGATTTTTGGATTGTGATTGAATCAGTTGCTTTACTTTTTTATCAGATAAAATTACAGATCAGAAATTAACATTTTTGAAGATGAAACAAGATGACCAAAACACAATGAAATTCCACTAGACCAATGGAAATAATACTGAAGTCGATGAATAAAAAGTTAATCTTTCAGAAAATTCAAACATTTCTTTACACCAATGGAAAAATTCCGTAATTTTTGAAATAGCGTGGAACAGTAGTAGACCAAACTAACACTCTTGAATAGTGAGCTAATTAAGCGAAATGGTGAGCTCTCGATAATATTTAAATTAAATGCTACGACTAGTAAAATCCATTCAATGATTTCTGAACAATCTTATGTATTTTAGATTTGAAAAAAGTCATAAGTGACAACTCTTGTCGACTTCTAACATGTTTTCTAGTTCGCAACAAAGCGGATTCATATCTATATTCTATAGTGTAGGAAGTAATCCTTTAGCTTTGTGGGACAAGCAGGTATTGGACCTTCATATGAGAACATTATGTTTCGGGCAACATTAGTCGATGTTTGCGATTACTTCTCAAATTTAATGGCTTAAAGATTTTTCGAAGTAGATGGGGAAAAAGTTGGCTGCAGCCTAATAGAGTTACAAATTCCAGGTAAAAAATGGTCACATAAGAAGAGTAATCGATGACGAAGTAAAGTCTTTGGTATTGGATATTGGTGGAACCAATGTTGCAACCACTTATATAACTTGTCCAATCAAGCCTCGAGCTGCATTGGGTATAAAACTGCCATATTTAGTAATGGTCATCAAAAATATGAAAAAGTATTTTTCATTTGAAATCCAGATTTTAGGTAAGTTTCCGCTGACTACATTTTACTAAATGGATTAATTAATGTCTTAAAAAATCAGCCTAAGTTGCAAATAATATTCTAAGTAAATAAAACTAATTTAAATTATCTCGGCACTAGCTTAATCCAGTTTGCAAAGACTAAGCCGATTATGTCCGAAATGGTCAGTGGCGGCGCTAGGGGTGGGCGAGGTTGGGCGAGCGCCCAACCAAAATTTGTCTCGCTCAACCACTTTTAATAGCGATATAAATAATTGCGAATTAAAAAAAATCAGTTCAAATTCGACAGTAATGATGGTGAACGTGAAAACATTCCGAGTTGTTAGGGAATTGAAAAGTACATTTTTAAGAGGTACTTCATATTAATAAATTATTTTCTAATCTAAGTATGGATACTTTCCTGTTAGGACAAGAGCCAAAGATTTCATATAGAGGAAAAAGAAGTGATTGATTTGTCTCTATCGCTACAAGAACTTTCAAGACAGCTGATCTTAGCAAGCTTTCCTAAAAAACAGTATGGTTGTGATCTTCGTAGTTCCAAGTCCAGTTATTATATGATGTATCCTTGGATTAAGTACAGCATTCTCAAAGAGGCTGTATTCCGTGTTCCCTTGTAGATTTTTCTTCAAACAAGGTGGAACCAGCAGTTTAAGTATTGTTATCGACGGCTACAAGAACTGGAAAAGGGCTGCATAAATAAAAACTGGGTTTAAAAATATGATTTAGTACAATGAATCCATCCATCTACCAGCATTTTTTATGCGTAGAACGACCATTTCTTTAGCTAACCATTACCAATGTGATATAGTTTCAAATAAAAACGAGCCAAAGTCATTGCTAGATATCACTAAGAGATATGAAGGCACAAATATTCTATAATAGTAAATTTAACAGATCTCACACTTCATTTGCAAGATTTTAGTTTAGTCTTCCATGAAATGAATAAACTATGTAATATTGCAATGACAGTACCATCTTCCAATGCAAGTTTTCGAAGAATTTTCAGCACTTTAAATTAATAGAATTAAAAATTATTTAAGAATACTATGAGTCAGGATATGCTTACTGACTTGGGCATTTTGTTTGTTGAAAAAATAATTTCGTTTAGTTAAGGGAATTATTCGATTCAAAAAATAGATTTGTTTTGGTTTTTTTGTTTCGTTCGGGTTAGTTTGGGTTAAATTTTTGTAACATTCATTTCGGTATTCTACGAAGGTAGATAAAATCTCGTATACTATTTGTATTGTAAATTCATATTAGGACACTCAAGGTATTGCCAAACTCTATTAGCTCCTTGTTTGACAAAACCATGTCGTTATCAGTGGTTACTAAAAATTAATCTTTGCAACGCTTGTATGTTAAATAAAAATAACTAAGAAATATTTTACATTTTATTCGGCCAAAGAAGAAAACAAAACATTTTGGTAAACAGATATATTATATCCAAAGCTTAAAATTAAAAGTAAAAATGTCTCCTGCCCATCTTCAAATTTTTTCCGCCGGCTTTCACCCAAGCGAAAATTAAAGCTGACGCCGCCACTGGAAACGGTTAATTGTGCAAATTTTCAATTGGCCACGTAGAAATTGCTGAATTATTTACATATTTTGAACGGTTCATATGACTGAGCATAAAAATATCCAGAAAACATTTCAACACTTCACACAGGTCAAGTTTTTGTTGCAGTGACACATACATAAATTACTTTGAAGAAACTTAAAAAATCAGTAAACTTTTGTCTTGTACTAGCAGTCGTTAAAGATTTTTCTTAAACATTATAATAATCTCATACTACAACGACATACAATACATGGTTATTTATGCTCTACACAAATTATGATTTCTATTCAAATTGATATTTATATCACTCTCGATTAATATTTTGCATTTTGAACGGTTCATACTTTCCTACAATCGATGCGTCCAAGAGGGGTGGGGACAAGGGTGGGACGACAAGGGTGGGACATATGGTGGGAGGGGTTCACGGGGGTCATAACCCCCCCCTTGTGCTGGGTTTACAGCAACTAACGCTACTCTTTCTAATTTCATACACAACAAACTCTGAATTTCTCCGACTTGACCCCCTCCCTGACTCGAAAGCTGGATCCGCTTCTGGGTGGGGACTGAGGGTACTTATTTATTTTTTACTTTCATGTAGATACAATTTAGAAGGTTTAGACCGTTCCTTCTTGCGCTGGTCCAATGCATGTTGGAAAGCTCAGGAGGTCGCAATAAGGAAATAGATAGGTTTGGACGGGAGTAAAAGGGGCAATAGAATGGGTTTATAGATGAGTATTCATCCGCTACCTAATAAAAAGCTGGAAGACGACTTTGTATGAAATGAGTAGACAACCTTAAAGTAACAGCAGATGTGAAATGAATCTAAAACGCTAAACAAGAAGAAGAGGAATAAGAACATTTAATTGTTTACCAAATATATTCATAAAGCCATCATCGAGAAAGTTCAAGAAGTGTTCAGTTCATTAAAATGTTCGTTAAATGCTCTAGATTATTACACAGTACATCTTCTACTGCTAAACAGAAACAGGAAACTTGGAATTACCTTTAAAGTTCCAATTTTTTTCGTAGTTGAGCCGAGTAAATTCGAGAAAAATGGAAGAACTAATTTTTGTAGCAAATGAGTTACTCATTCAACATAGTTCTTTGGAGATGAAACCTTCAATAAAACGCAATCAGAGATTAGTAACCTACAACTTTTACGATTAGTAGCCTCAAACTTTATTTTTCGCCTGCCGCGCCTTTCAGGTAGCAATCAAAAAAACAAAAAGTACGGAATTAGACTTCAGTAATAGTAATTAATTAATTAATTAATTAGGCCTGATGGGATTTTGTGCTTTGATAATATCACCCAATATGGTACGCCTACTGTATGCCAAATTGATTGAAGTTAAATAAAGTAAAGTTAATAAAGTTGAAGTTCAAGCAATTTGTTAGAAATATATTTTTTCTGCTTCAAAACTTCTTTGCCTGATAACTCCTTTGTTGATTTGGAACATTCTGTGTAAAATATGTTTTTCTATAGACTAATCAATTCCTGGTCAAGCAAAGTAGACTACCGCAAATTACTTAAAGAGAATTTATTGTTTTTAGATGACAAAGATATGCGACGAAGATTTCGAGTGTCTAATTTCCAATCTACAACTAAAGTGAGACCTTTTTGCACAACCATGCCAATTGGATTAAGCGCAGGATGGAACCAAGTTCAATTTAATCTTGCGGATTTTACAAAAAGAGCTTACGGTATATGATTTCTTTTTAGCTTAACTACGTACTACCAATGTAACAAATGCTTCTGATGTTCTTATGTAAGGGTTTTTAAATTTGGTATAATTTTGATTGCTTGAGAAGTTTATTCTGTTTCAACAATATGATCAGTTCACAAAACTGCATTTCTTCCGGATTTCAATTAATAGATAATTTTTAATCAATAGAATAATTGTTTTCAGATAATAAAATGTTGCTGACAGGAACGACTTATTTGGTATATACAGGGTTGCTCATTAGTGCGTCAAAGTGCGATATGTAAAGTAGTAAGCGATAGTAAAAAATACTTCCTAAGAAGTTTTTGATGTTTAAAAAGTGCACATTGTAAAATTACTTTTCAATATACGGGGTGCGTCATAAACGTGTGGTGGTTACGAACTATGGGTTTTTGAATGGAACCCACCCCTTGCTTGAGGGGGTGCTGATTGCGCTTTTTGGATTTATGGTCAAATATGAATGGAAGTGGAAATATAAATGGAATTATTCGAAAAAATATGAAAATTTTGACAGTTGACAGTGCCATATACAGTGGCGCCGTACCCTAATGGCTACGAATTTTGAAATCGGTTTGTGGACCTCCAAGAGGACTAAACAAGCTACGTGCCAACATATGTTAGCTTACGAAAAGTTATCAATGAAATTATATGAGCATCCAAAATTGCATGTTTCTTAATCAAAACAACTTGATTATTTCAAATGGAACCCCCATAATTTTTTTTTAATTTTTGGCTTTTAAAGCTAGTTTATGTAAGGTATGGTAACTTTAAAACTTACCGTTTCTAAGTTATACGGCAAAATTTAGAAAATAGCTTAATTTTTGCTTGAATCAAGTCAACTGGGCACATGTTGACCATCAAAAAATGCATTAAACAAAAATGCTTAATATTATAAATGTATTATTAAATATATATTATTAAATAAAACATTATTTTTAAACAAATGCGGTGTTCATAAAAGATTCTCAAACTGTCCCCCATTTTAGCAGTAGCCGGAGCAGTTTGATATACACTGTTTTTTATGTGACCCCATAGAAAAAAAGCCAGTTTTGTTAAGTCTGGCGATCTACGTGGCTACTAAACGGGACTGCCACGGCCTATCCATCTATCTTCAAATTCGCGATTTAAATAGTGTCTTTAACGCAAACTCTGCAGGAGTACTCTCATTCTGTAGCCACATATTTTACCTTTAATGAAGAGGAATGTTCTGCAAAAGTTCGGGAAAATCATTTTGCAACAAATACAAATATGCGGCATCATTCAAGTGTCCGTGAAAGAAATGTGGTCCAACTATAAAGCCCCATTGGCAAAAGGTTCTCCTAATCTGCAAATCAGGAGACGACAGTACGTTTTTGCATCTAATATGAAATATAGAGAAAAATGTTAAATACAAAAGTAGATTGCAACGTCTAGTTTATTTTAAGATAATACCAATTGATACAGGGTGTCTCAAATTCAAGTGGCAGACCAAACTTCCCTTTTTTAAATCGAATGCCGTACTTTTTATTTCATATTCGAACTATTCGCCTATTCGATATAAATGATCTATAATGATTTTAAACTGTTTTTGAGTTAATTACCAATATTGTTCAAACTTTGGCCACCCCGTTTTTGGAGCTAATTTGAAATTTATAGCACAATATTATATACAAAAATTGTAGATATTAACATCTAGTTTATTTTAAGAGAATAACAATTGATATAGGGTGTCTCAAATTCAAGTGCCTGCGTGCCAAACTCAATTTTTTATAACTGGAATACCCGAATATTTAAATGGCCATTAACTCAAAAACAGTTAAAGATCAATATAGAAAATTTATATCCAAAAGGACTGAAACTTCGCATATAGTTGAAATATGAAATAAAAAGTGCGTGAATCTATTTAAAAAAATGTAAGTTTGTACCGTCACTCTAGTTATAATACTAATAAACTAGACGTTAATATCTAAAACTTTTCGATTTGACATTTTCCTCTAAATTTCAAATTAGATGTTAAAACTGGCTGGCCAAAATTGAATCAATATTGGTTAATAACTCAAAAACAGTTGAGAATCAATATAGAACGTTTATATCGAATAGGCCTAGAATTTTACGGATATCTCGAATATGCAATAAAAAGTACGGCATTCCATTTAAGAAAAGGTAAGTTTGATCTGCCACTTAAATTGGAGACGCCCTGTACCAATTGTTATTATCTTGAAATAAACTAGACGTTACTATCTACAACTGTTATGTTTAACGTTTTTCTCTAAATTTCAAATTAGATCGGGGTGGCCAAAGTTTAATCAATAACCTTGTACATATAAATATTTACCCAGTTAACTTGATCAAAATAAAAATTATATAATTTTCTAAATGTTGCTGAATAGCTTAGAAACGGTTATTCTCAGGACTAGGACACCTTACATAAAATGCCCTAAAAATTAGACGTTAAATTCGAAAATTGAAAACATTAGGGAGTTCTTTCTGAAATAAGCAACTTTTTGAAGTTTAAAAACATATAAGCTCTGAGGCTAATTGAAAGGTATACGGACATACCTTTATGAATTAAAACACATCTGCACGCAGATTATTAGGTCCTTTTAGAATCACGGAAGACCAAATTTGTTTTCCAAATTCGCAGCGAGTAGAGTACAGCTTCGATTTATGTGAAACCCAGTAGCTGTCAAAATGTTCATATTTTTCCGAATAATTCTAAAACCGTAAGATTTTTAGGTAAAATTTTCCAAATAAATTTACATTGGAATCTGACGATAAATCCGAAGCGCGCAAAAAGGTGAAATTCCATTTAAAAAACCATAGTTGGTTCCTGCCACACGTTCATAACGCACCTCGTATAATGGAAAATAATTTTAAAATCCGCATCTCAGAAACACGAAAAACTTTCGTGGGACACATTTTCCTCTAAAATTCATATTTACTGAGACATCGCACTTTGACGCACTAATAAGCAACCATGGTGTGTATTGGTGTGCAATTACCGAAATAAACTAATTAAAAAAAAAGTATTCGTGTTCCCGTTAATGAATCCGTCAGATTAACTGTGGTTAGTTATGTGTTACTGTCTAGGAAAATGTTTTACTTAATTTAGCTTTGAAATTAACGAATTTAAAAGGCTGCGATTTTCAGACATGAAAAGTTTGTTGCTGCGCTAAAAGAATTTTTAAATCGTTGTTTCATATGTGTTTGAAATAGAAGTTTTTGGGGATAAACAAAAATGGACAGTATGGACAGACAATGGGATTAAAATGGACAACGTCTCTGAAACGTTTTATTTCATTTCTACAAACAATTTCTCCCGGTTGCTTAAACAGCAATAGGCCTATCCTGTATGTTAACACACAAAGCGCTTCTAAATCCACATAAAAGATAATTTTTATACTTTTATCTTTATTTCATTTACTTTTAATCAGTTACCAGCGTTTGTTAAAACATCAATGTGGATTGTTTTTTTTTAAGGTTCGGTATATTTAGAAACTGTAAGGGTTCAAATTCATGCCAATGTAAGAATACGACGAATTTACTTCACTGACCAACTTCACAGTGATGATGAACTGCCTAACGAGTTCAAATTGTTCGCGCCTGGTCCTCGCGAACAAACAAAAGGCAAAACCAAAGACAAGAAATCTTCGAAGGAAACTATGGGTAAATACCATATTTTCAATTATTACTTAACAATCTAACAAATATTAGAATTTATATGAAAAAAATAACACAAAATGTGGTATCTTCGTTCAAATCAATGTTTTCCTTTTTCAAAAGTCATTGTGGCTGCAACTAACTGGAAGTCATATAAAATATATTTCTCTAATAACATAACCTGATAACGGAAAACCCCGAATTACACATACATATACTTTATGGTGCCACTAAGATTTCAGCAAAAATCACTCCTAAATTTTCATGTGTATATTTAGAGTTTTTACCTAAAATCACTATGAGTTTATGTATAATTCATGATATATAAAATGTACGTTTAGAGCTTTTAGAGTGGCATAAATGGCCGAAACATTAATCCAATAAAAACTGTGATGTTTTTCTGTCGCTATTTATTTACCGATTAACCCAAACAGCTCAACAGGCAACTTTCAACTAAAATGTACTGTTTTTTCGATGTGCGCTAATTTTTGAAATCACATATTTTTTCAAAAATTTTGAATGAAGATGATTAATATTGTCCATATTTCTCGATTTTCCGTACGTGCATCATTCTCTCAATTCTAGTTTCAATTTAGGAAGCGTTAATTCTGGATAGTTTAGTGATTGAAATTTAACACATCTACTTTTTCTCTTTATTATTTTCATGCCTTAATCAATTTTAACTTATTTGTATTTGATCTTAATATATATTTCTATTTAGATTAATATCCTTCATGTCATATTAGGAAAAGAGAGAGCTGCAGTACTTGACGAATGTATAATTTGTATAAAGAAAAGAAAAGTATTTTTCAAAAATCGCAATTTTTTGCATTTGATGAATGCTTTTACTAGTGGATAAGTTTTGAAAATTAATAATTAGATTGCTTATAATCTGAAGTACCTAACCTTTAACAGAATTGAATTTGGCAAGCAGGACGCGAAAACCAGGATATTCAGCATAATTTTTTTTCTAATCTGATATCGCCGTTTGTCGTCTAATATTGCTCGAATATGTAAGATAATGTGCAACCTTAGCTAGTATCCACTCATATTGGTCCGTAGTGACTGAAAAGATTTGCTGCGGGATCCAAGAAGTTTCTCTGATTCATACTATACCGTTAAATCTATTTCAAGATATACAACTTTGTCCATATAAACCACACTGGACACAAAACAATATCTTCTCCTAAATTTACATTAAGAAACTTTTTGGGTTCTCCTGAAAAGTTGCCTGCATCCTTACTGTGTTGTACCTTATGCTTCGTTTAATTTATTTCCTTTCAAAAATTCCCAACTAGAAACAGCGCCCCCGGAGACTCTTGTTCCGCTTATGAAGCTAGAGCAACAGCCTGAGGAAGAAACACCGCCTCCGCCAAGCCCTGCCGAAGAATCTCCGATTGCTAAAGACAAAGAGGTTGAAGCTGAAACTGCTCCTCCAATCGAAGAAGTGGTGCCGCCAGAAGAAGGCGAAGCCGCGGCTCCAGAAGATCAGCCTACAGACCAGGAAACACTACAAATCTCCGAAGGTATAAAAATCCAAATACTTTTAAAGCATTTATTACACCGGCTCAATTGATCAGATGTACTTTCTTAGGAGGAGAAGCCCCTGCTGAAACTGGGGAAGATGGAGCTCCACCATTACCCGAGGTTGAAGTACCTTCAGTCGGTCCCTCCCCAGAAGAAGGTTTGGAATCAGTTGTGGAAGTTGGGGCGACAGGTACAGATATTGAATTGACATCTGAAGCTGATGGAGTCGAGCCAGAAGACGGCACTAAGCCAATTGTTGAAGAAGGAACAACTGAAGAAGGAGTCGAAGCGGAAGCTGTACCAGCAGAAACAACCGAAAGTGAAGGTTATATGCAGAAAATCACATATTTCTGGTACTAAACTTCTGTGTAATTGCTATTTTAGCTCCTGTGGAATCTAGTGTTGAACCCGCGGATGTTGTGGAAACAACTGAAGCTACAGTGGAGGGTACCACTGAGGTCAGTGACACAGAGGCCACTCAAAGTGAAGCCCCAACTACAGATCAAGAAGGTGAAGCAGATTAATGTGCACTTTAATTTCGCATTATTAACATTGTATGAAAACCTTATATACTAATATATCTACTTTTACTTAAACTTTTAATTGGATTTAAACATCTAAAGAGAAAGTTCTGTCTAAAAGAACTGAAAATTCATCTAAAGGACTGGGAAAAAAATTTAAATCGCCCCGTCACCTACCATTGGTAATCAACGAGAAAACGCAAGTATTAGTCAAGATAATGCTTAAATTATAGTTTAGGATAGGACTGGAATAAAAGGTTTAGGATAGGACTGGAAGGAACTACGAAGAAATCATAAAGACCCAAATGTAGTTCAGATTTATGTTCCAACAAACCATAGATCAGACCAAGGAATCGAGTTTAATAGTAAAATGAAAGAAATGTTGCAACTAACAAACGGAGAAGAGATAATAATAGTCATTTAATACAGACTCGCGCAAGTTTGCATAAAGAACAGCTTTAAAAAACAATTTATCTTCCAAGCTACGTTGCGTTTCAAGATTTTTAAAAAAACCACCCTGTATATCGTTCGGCGCTGTGCACCTCAAGATATAAAAGTGTTCTGTATATGCCTTTCCTTCTCGACCTTGATATACAGGGTGATTCACAATATTATGGACACAGAGCAGGGGCGTGTAGAGGACCTCAAAACAAATCGAGTTTCCATTTAAGTTTTTTGTCTCAGGCCCATGGTTAACAAGATACAGGGTGTTAAAGTTTCAAAAAAACTTTGGTATTTTCTCTTTACCTCCTACAGTTTAGGAGATATTTTGTACAAATTTTTAACTTAGGCTTATGTTTAGAACCTTTATCCGTAAGTAAGGCGACTCCTGTGTCCATAAGGTTGTGAATCATCCTGTATAATTAATATACTATTTCGCACACYTCTCTAAGTTCAAATGAGATTCCATCCATTTCTACTTCCAAATCAYTGTCACTTTAAGTTTCACTAAATGTTCGCGTTTCCCAGAAGTTTCTCAAAAAACTTTTTTCTGTCTGAACTTTTTTGAATTTGTTGTTCAATTTARGAATTTTCTGATCGCTTGCAGTTTTTTCGTATCTCTCTTCGTTTTCGAGTTATTTGCACAAATATAAGTCTAGGGTTCCTGGGTGATTCTCCATAMATTTTCTTATAATTTTTTTTCGTCCCTTTGTWCATATTTTTTTKCTGAAAGAAATTAGTTTTGTAATAAATTGAAATAATCTTTATGCTGTGCTTATACTGTTCGGAGCTATGCGCCTCAAAATATAAAAGTGCTCTTTATATAAGATCTTACTTCTCGCGTTAGGTATATAATAAACTGACCTCTTGATGGCTGTCAAATTTTGAAGAAATAAAATTGGTTTTGAGTACAGCTTTCATAACTACAATTCTTTTATCTGCTAAAGTTTCGAAGATCTCTGTACAAATCATCAAGAAAACTCACCATGTACATAATTATTGTTTCCCGAGCCTACCAAATTAATTTCTTGTTTTAAATAAATATAACTACAGTACCTAATTAGTGAGACTGAGAGAGTAAGACTGAGACAAGCAACCTGCTACATGTTCAAGAGAGCTGAATGCTGAGGACCAACGCATATGGAGTATGCAAAAGTCCCTAAGAAGAGAAGGTACCAAGATTCCAGCTCTCCACGGAACTCAATGTCTGGTATTTACAGATGGAGGCAAAGCTAAGGCGCTTGCGGAAGCAATCGAGAGTGAGGCCAGAGCAAACCATCACCCAAACGATGACTTAGACCACGAAGCAACTGTCAGAAGGACAGTAAGGATGCTTCGGAGTGAAAAGCCACACAGCCACATCCCTCCAACTTCGCCAGTAGAAGTTGCAGCCATCATCAGAAGAACCAAAGCTAAGAAAGCCGCTGGGAGATATGGAATCACCAACAAAATGCTGAAGAACCTGCCGATAAAAGAACTGTTAGCTGTAACTAACTTGCTTAATGCCATTTTCAGGACTGGTCATTTCTCAAGCATCTGGAAGCACTCGTCATCATGGTCCCGAAGCCTAAGAAAAGCAATACTTTCCTCAAAACTACAGGCCTATCAGTCTCAGTAAAATAGCTGAAAAGGTTATACTGAAGAGATTCAAGGAGGAAACGAGCCAGCTCGACGTGCTTTCACGAGAACAGTTGGGATTCCGAGGAAAGCATTCCGAGGAAAGCATTCCATGGAACCCCAACTGCTCAGAATAGTAGAAAGATGCACCAAAGAAATGAATCAGTACCGAACGACTGGAATCCTACAGTGGATGTCGAAGGAGCGTTGGACAGAGTGTGGAGAGACGGTCTCATCTACAATTTAAGACTATGGAAACAGGTAGTAATAGGCAACTGTGCCAGCTAATCGACAGTTATATTTCCAGAAGGAGCTTCAGCATCAGAGTTGAAACTCACGGGTCAGAAACCAGAAGCACTGAGGTAGGAATACCACAAGGAGCAGTGCGCTCCCCACTGCTATATATTATCTTCACAAGCGACATGCCAAATACATTTCCGGCGCTCTTTGCAGATGATACGGTCCTTTTGTCGACCTCATGGTACAAGGACTGCATCAGGCAATAGCTCCAGCTTGCAACTGACAAACTGCATCAGTGCTTCATCAAGTGGAAGATGAAGATAAATGCAGAGAAGAGTCAGGCCATACTTATTGGCAGGAAGCAGGATAAGGTCGATGACGACATCACCATAGAGGGAGAAAAATTCGGGTGTTGTTCTAGATAAGCAGCTGACCGGGAAGAAGCTGATTACAACAGCCATCGACAAAGTTAAGACAACAACCGCCAAGTTGTACCAACTCCTCGATCGAAGAAGTCTGATGAGTATTGGGAACAAGCTACTCCTCACCAAGACCATAATCAGGCCAACACTGGCGAATGCCCCCACTGCGTGGAAATATGCAGCCATGTGTCTCCTGCATAAACTGCAAGACACAGAAATCAAACTTCTGCGGATGGCCATAGAAGCGCCCTGGTTTGTTCGGAACTCTCAAATCTACAGGGACCTGAAGTGGGAACCACTAAGAGAGTTTCTCACAAGGAAAGCGGCAGCGGACTTCGAGAAAGCTGTAAAAAGCACTCCAATGAAGAGCTATGAAACGTAGTGAACCACACACCTGAGGATCTGGGGCCCATGAAAAATAGGCCTACTGGCCCACTGGGACAACACGTAGCAAACGGCGTAAGCTGTAAGTGTGCTAATAACGTTATTAAGTGAGTGTTTGTACTACGTGGCAATGCATGTATATAAGTTTTAAGGCGTTAAATGGATAAGATGCTCATGCTAGCAAGCAGCTAGCATGGAGAGAATGGCATACGGATGCCGGAGCTGACAAATTCTTAGAGAGGACTACAAGTTTTAAACGATAACTCCCGAAAACTCGTATTACAAAAAGGGGGTTTTTTAGTTGGTAAGAGTCTAACATTACCCAGGGCTTAGAACACTGGGTGTCCTCGTGAAGATTTTTTATTCCTCCAGCAGCCGGGCAAACAAAAAAATACATATTCAAAGAAGCTTTGGTAAGTTTTTACATGTTGTAAATCAAGCATCACAAAATCTTACTTTGCTAAATTCTAAGTAGAAATATTCATAATTACAGAATTTTAATATTGATCAAAATTCAACAGATTTCTTAATTTAATAAGTAACTGATTTTAATTAAGTATCTACATAATTTAGCGACATTCTAATCGAACATCGAAAACATTCTTTTGAATGAACAGAACATGCCCTTAAACTCTAATAAGGGAAATGAAGAGACATTGGAAATAATTAATAAAATATATAATAATATATTACAATTCATGTTCGTAAATAATTTAAAAAAAATAAAGCTAATAAAGAATTTGTTAAATTCATGCGTAGTGGGAAACACACTTCTCGTTGATGACGCCATAGAAACATAACCAGGATTCGGTTGCATGCGTTCGAAAGAGCTATGTTGATTCTTTTGACAGGACTGTTGAATTATTGTTTGAAATATGGGTCCATTTCCAAACATTGTAGAATAGAAAATAACAACAAACTATGTACAATAAGGTACCAAGAAAATTAAGGGTGGTATAGTGGACAATCAGGTAGTTATATTCACACAGCTAGTAATAAATCCATTAGGAACTCACTGACAGTAATGGAAAGGTAGGAAGACGATTTTAATTTAATAATCATGTATGATGTGGGGACAAATTAGCACAATTGCTTAATTGTTTGGATTTTCAATCCAGAATAATGACAATGCAGTTATATTTTTTTATCAGCTGTTGAATCCCAATAAACCACATTACCTTTGCCATATGGTTGGAAATTAACATGTAAATTATGTACAAATCAAATTTTGTTTTTAGCAATGATGCTGAACTGCAAAGAAAGAACTCAGTGTTAACTCAACAGTGGCTTGAAACACTGAATAATCTTCAAAATCAGCAAATCAATCAAACCCAGAGTAGGTCCGCATTTCCCAATACATATGTAACTCAGCAGTCTTTAATGAATAGACAAAAACATCTACTATTAAGGTAACAGCTGTCTGTCTAAAGACATAATATGAATTTCCTTATTGTGTAATGAACACAATCATAACTATAAATTCAAATAAAACCAGTCATGTAAACGCTTATTTAAATATGTTTTAACTTCTTAAAGAGTTTGATGCATAAAGTTAGTATTTCACCTGGAGGGGACGAGCAATTTTTTAAATACAAATTGAGTTTATTTCTGGAAGGTATTAGGAGGATGCTCAAATAAATAATTTTAATATTTGCTTAAATTTTCAAAAATTTTCTATACGGTTTCAATTAATATTGTTTAAAAGCACAGAAGCAACCATGCATTCGGAAAGATATGTGTTAATAGACACGCCGACCTACTTTGTAACTCGTCTTTATTATACGCTAATTGAATTTTCTGTGGAGGTTAAAATTGACGAAGACAGCAAAAGTGGCCACAACTTAACTGTTGATTGCCGAAGTCATACAGCAGTACTTTTTTAATTAAGCAACGAGTAAAACGATTTAATTTTGATGGAAACCAGCACCAAACGTCATGGGAATCCATTAAAAGTTTTGCGTATATTTTCCTTGATCTCCTGAATAAAGCGTAAGATCCCGTAACAAAACATTAAACTGTGCAGACTCAAACATTAATTCGTTTAATCTCTCAAAACGAATGATGTGAACTGAGGATATGAAGTGAAATTGAGCAGTTCTGTGATAAAATTCATGTACCTAATGAGTGTACAGTGTTGAACAAATTGGACGCTTTTAAATGGAAACTCCCATTTCTATACCAGATAGACAAAAACTGATATCGGTGTCTGAGCCTCGATTTGTATTGCAAAATTAATGACGAAAACCGTATGTCAATTTATCGAACCCTTTAAACCAACGATCTGGTACCGATTTGTTGATGACATGTTCATGATTTGTTCATGACAAACCTGGACGTCTTCATCGATCATCTAAACAAACAGCACCCAGACATCCAATTCAACATGGAAGTTGAAAACTACCAACTGGCCTTCCTGGATCTTTTGGTCTCTAGGGAGATACACACGGACAGATATCTTTGCAAGCTATATAACCATCATCCGAGTCAGAAGCAAGGAATCATTAAGACTCTTACGGATAGGGCCAGAAAATATGTGGACCACAACATCTAACCACAGAACTACAGCAGGAAAAAGCTTTTCTTCAGAACGGATATTCCCAATTGGATATCAAAAAAGCTGTAGGAGTGGGCCGTGCTGAAAAAATTTAATCCACTGTGAAAGCTTTCCTGCCCTTTGTTCCCAGGGTTACGGACAGAATTGGGAGGCTCCTGAGGAAACACAACATAAGAACATTCTACAAGCCCACAACAAAGATCCGATAATGTCTAGGGTCAGTTAAAGACAGAACCCCCCCCCCACTCGCAACTGCAGGAATCTACCGGATTCCATGCTCCTGTGGAAGCGTCTACATAGGAACTACTAAGAGATCGGTTGCGTCGAGAATAGATCACGGACGGAATTGTAAACTGGGACATGTGGAAAAGTCGGCAGTGGCGAAACATGCCCTCAGCGATGGAACACACAACATCTATTTCGGAGAGAAGCACAGCCTGGCCACAACAACAGGCTGCCGCCCCGACTAAGACGAGAAGCAATTGAAATCTACAAACACGACGACAATTTCAACAGAAAAGAAGAGACATTCAGCCCTGTGCTGTATCATAAATGCTATTTTTAACGGCCACACGTTATGGCAACTTAACAGTTCAGGATAACATTTTCGATAACGCAGCA